CGAGGAACGAGGGTACAAGTCAGGTGCTCGAGGCAAGAACTGGAGGGAGCGATAAAAGGAGAGAGAAAACAAAGCACTACAAAAACAATGCAAATGTCCGCGCACAAATAAAAGCAAAATCAGAAAAAATGTGGCCCTGTGAGTAAAAGCAAAAAAAAAGTAAAAGCAAAAGAAACCCAAGACTGCAAAGCATCAGGCTTGCTGATGCGATCATGCTTTTTTGAGTTGAACTTGCAGATTATTAACAGCAGGAGTGGTTCCTGCGCTGTACTTTAACACACACTCATATTGGCTGTGTTTTGGCCTCTTCCCGCACGCAGGAGGAAACAGCGTCAGCAAGGATGGAGGTGTTGCATTAGGGGGGCGCGTGGACTTTCAGCGCGCATGAATATCAGTTTTTTGAATGAAGCCCGGTCGTTTTTCCGTCGAATGCTCGTTTGCTAAAACCCAAGCTGGAAAGCACCAGGCTAGCCGGTGCGAGGATGCGTTTTTGCTCAGCTTTTTAAGCAGGATTCATTCAGAAGTGAGTGCATTTTGAGCTAGCGACTGCCCCCATCCTCTCCCAACATTCAGTTTCAGTTCTTCACTAAAAAATGGAAATGTTGCCAGAGCGGTCGTTCGCCAAATATTCCAAATATATAAATGAACCGAATGTTGGGAGAGGATGAGGGCGATCGTTCACTGCAAAATGCACTCGATTCTGACTTTGCTGTAATGTAGTTGTATTCCTCATATCCACCTGCAAGAAATTTCACTTTCAAGCAGAATTAAAACCAAGCAAGAAAGTAGAATATCCCAGCGAAGTTTCAGCTTCGCACCTTATCCGGTGAACGAAATAGACACTTTACCACAAATATCTTTGAAGTCGTGGCGCAAGTGCACATCGGGACTCATTTTAGGTATACGATTTTCCATATGGATGATATTCTGAAAAAACTTCAGACGCTGTTTTCCGGCTGGTTTTCGAGCTAGAACAGTACCAAGTTGCAAACTTTGGCGTAACAGTAAACGCTGCGCAAACGTACGCAATGACTGAATTTGAAATCTTTAACTCATAGAAACACACAGAATATCCCTGCAAAGTTTCATCTTTTTATCTTGCCTGGTTCCCAAAATCGCTTCCTGCCAAAGAAATCTGCATATTTTTTCGGGGATTCGCACGTGGGGTCTCGGCGCGTATAAGAGAAGATTTTGAAACGGAAAGGTGACACACGGGGTAGGACCCCAAAGTTTCAGCTTCTCAGCTTTCCGGATTGCTGAATTGGAAGTGGGTGACAAAGTTCACTCGCTACGTGCTCGCTTTTGAGTTTGCAATAAAATTGAGTATTTGGCATGTCCTCGTGCATAGAATTTGATCTCCAAGCTGAATTAAGACCGTACGTGAATATAGAATATCCTTGTAAATTTTCAGCTTCGGAGCTTGCCTGGTAAGCGAAATAGTCATTTCGCTACAAATATATTTGAAGTACTCTAAGTCGTGACACAAGTGCAAATCGAAACTACGTTTAGGTGTGTGATTCCCCACATGAACGACAAAAATTCTGACAAAAGATTAGATACTGTTTTCCGGCTAGCTTTCGAGTTGGCACAGTACAAACCTCAAACTTTGACGTAACTTTACGCGCGGTACAAGCATGTACGATGGATGAACAAAGTGCGAAGCGGTGTTGACACTGCGAAATAGCGTCAGTAAAGAAGCTAGAGCATTTCACAATAGCGGTCAAACCGAGCCTTGATTTGGTAATTGCATTTATATTCACATTCCCATTTTGCTGCATTTTTCCATAAAACTGTTTCGTCTTTACAGTACATAAGCAAAACCTAAAAAATATTATTGAAGTACGACGGAAGATTAATGATGTCGCACATATGTGATATGGCGGAACCTCAACGTAAACATATTACAGTACCCAGCAGGTTCTCAGGCTTACTGCGCTGGGATAAAGATAAGAAAAACCTATAAGTTGTTTACAGATTCTCGGGGTCATCCAGGCATACCTACTTGGAGCCCTGCCCAGCAAGACACACCTTCTTTCCTTGTGACAATGGGCTTGTTTTGGTATGCCCAGATTCGCTTCTTATATAAATCGAGTTTTTAGATACTAAACTCACTTTCGACTCTACTCGGACTGAGTAGCGGGGGCGAGTTTGGCCGCGCACTGTCCTTAGTCGTCACTCACATCCGAACCCGGTGGGCTCACTTTTTTCCCTTTTTTATTTTTAAATTTTAGTAGCTGACTTCACAGACCAAGCTGGTAGGAAGATAGGTATTGGGTATTAAGGTTTTGTGTTTTAGGCATGTCCAGGGTGCTGGCAGGTAGATGGGTCTGGGAATGCGTAGTTTGGAGTGTTTGTAGTTGTTGTTGTAACATGGTACGACCTGTCTGAGTAGATAGCTGTGCTGTAGAAGTGTTATAGATTGTTGTTTGCGCTTATAGTTGTTGTGCATATTTGTATACTTTTCTGTTAGGGTTGTGGCGTTACTATAATTTACTCATTATGCTTGCAGCTATGCAATGCAGAAAACGCATATTGACGAGGAGTTGTTTGTGTGTGTGTGTGTCTGTGTGTCCGCGTATGCGTCTGTCACGGTTTTTCATCTCAAGACCAACAAAAGCTACAGAGCTGAAACTTTGGGAACTTAATCTACATGCAAGTGCGGGCCCCAATCCCCAAAATTGGCGCCATTACTCTCGCGGTACCCGCGTACGGGCCCGCCAAAATTTTTTTTTGGGCAAGTCCATAACTCGGAGATCTGAGAAGCTAGAGAGCTGAAATCTTAGGATAATGTTCCCCGTTCAACTAGGTATTAATACACTCATACCCATCCTCCGGGCAAGCATGGTACCCGCGTACGGGCCCGCCAAAACTTTTTTCGGATAAGTCCATAACTCTGGGACCTGAGAAGCTAGAAAGCTGAAATCTTAGGGAGATGTCCCCTGTCCAAGTGGATATTAACGAGTTCAAACTCTGCCCGCGGGTAAGCGTGGTACCTACTTACAGGCTCGTGAAAGTTTCTTCCGGAACTTAAGAAGCTAGAAGACTGGAACTCGAGAACGTGAGAAGCTAGAAGACTGGAATTTTGAGGAGATGTTTCCTGATAGTTCTGGTGGCCAGTCTGAAATTCTTTTAGCTAGAAGCATCTGCCGGCAAAACCAGTGCCGTTAGAGACAAAAATCTGCGGGGAGCTATGCAAAAAACGCATCTTAGCACAGGCAGCCCATGCGTTGGCCAATTATTTCACACTGGTTTAATAACTTAAAACTGAGGTGAAGAAGAACGTGTGTAGTTGTCCAATCGTCTTATATGAACGACAGTTCATCTCAATCGCGCACGCGGACATTCGTTGAGATGGAAGCCCTCGTATCGGTGGTCGTCGTCTTGTTGTCCGGTCGATTTATCAAAGTAAAGGTCCCTGGGAATCCGGTCGCACCACAAAACCGTCGCCAGGCGTTTTTTGTCGCTCATTTGTGCGAGCAACAAATTCGCGTAACGGGAGTGTGTCGCTCGCATGAGTGAACGGCAAAGGCACTTAATCATCGAAATTTTAGCCTTCTCATTTTAGTAAAGGTAAAATTTGATCACTCAGATAAGCACAAACACGATCTCAATTGCTAGAATAGGCAATTACAAAAAGTCGGCTCTGATCGGCTCGGCTCAGCTGATGATCTATGACGCTTGAGTCTTCCAGCACTTTGCTCTAACATCTCTGCCAACACTACTTTGCAGCGCCTCTTGCTTGAGCTTTGCCAGACGCGCTGGGTAGCGCTGTCCAGTGTCTGACGGTTGGATCGCGTGGCCGAGGGTGATTGTTGGGAGGACTGGACGTGTTTGAAGGTGTTGGTTAGTAGTTGCCCAGAAACAGTTCAGAGGGGGCGATTAAGGCTAAGATAATGGGAGGGAATGAAGTTGCTGGTTAGGAGTTCAGGGCGATAATCGATGACAGTGGTTGGAGGTGGTGGGTGCCCCGATGCGGCTCTGGAGGCAAGGTTTGGGGACAGGACACAGGAGGGAAAGAAGAGTGGTAGTCAGGAGTTCGAAGTAAGAAT